TGCTGCTGCTGCTGCTATTATTACCAGCCGCGCAACTACCTGTCGCTTAAACCGTGAGGCAATCGCGGAACAGTACGGAGGAAAACGCTCCTGCAAAAGCAGCACTCGGTGGGCGAAGCAGTTAGCAGTATGCCGGAAAACGATGAAAAACGGACCCTTTGAACCTGAGAAACATTCATCATCATCATCATCATCATCAGCACCACTTCTTTTTGGCAATGGCTGACTCACATTGTCTAGCCGCAAGCCAGAAAGGTAGCAGAATGACTGCTTGAGGCTGCCATGTTTGTCATTGTCCTCACCCCGCCACCCCCACAGTGCTAAGCAGAGGTAGTTGGTAGGTGGTCGCCTACTACAACTGAGGAAAACTACAAATCAGAGACCAGAGGGTTCAATCAGAGACCGAAGACGCCGAGTCCGAGACCAGAGGGCGCGAATCACAGACCAGTACCGCCGAATCAGAGACCAGTCTCCTAGAATAAGACGCCAGGGAGGTCGAATCAAAGATCCAGGGCGGCTTGAATCAGAGACCGGAGGGGTCGACCGGGACGCCTCAAGACAGACAGACACACACACACACACACACGCGCACAAGACCGTGCCGACAGCGTTCTGCTACGAGGCTGTGCCATCGTGGCAGAATGTATTGGTCCAGTGGGTTGGATCGGTTCGCCAACTGGTGGGGTTGCCTGGCTGCTTGGGTTGCTCGGGTTAAAGGGTCGGGATGGTTGGGTCGGTCGGTTGAGGTCTCGGGTCCGTTGGGTCGGTTGGGTGGTCGGTAGGATTGGTCGGGTCGGGTCGGGTCGGGTGGTTGGTCGGGTCGGTCCTGCTCGGGTCGTCGGGTGGGATCGGGTTGGTCGGGTCCGTCGGGCCGGGTTGCTCGGACACACACACACACACACACACCCGCGCGCGCGCGCACGCACAGCCTCAAGACCGCCGTGCCGACAGGGTTCTGCCACGAGAGTGTCATCGAGGCAGAATGTATTGGTCCAGTGGGTTGGGTCGCTTCGCCAAGTGGCGGGGTTGCCTGGCTGCTTGGGTTGCTCGGGTTAGAGAGACGGGATGGTTGGGTCGGTTGGTTACATCATCGGGGTTGGTGAGGTCTCGGGTCCGTCGGGTCGGGTCCCGTCGGTCGGGTTGGTCGGGTCGGGTGGTCGGTCCGGTTGGTTGGGTCGGTCGGCTTGGTCGGGTTGCCGGAGTGGGGTGGGTTGGGTCGTCGGGTGGGGTCGGGGTTTCGGGTTGGGGGCGGGTCCTGTCAGGCCAGTCGGCGGGGTGGGCGACCTGGTCTCTGATTCCTGTGGCCGGTCTGGGAATCGCGTGGCTGGTCTGTGAGTCTGATCCTCGATTCGCGCCTGCTGGTCTCTGATTCGCCCGTCCTAGTCTCCGATTCGACCCTCCTGGTCTCCGATCCCGGTCTCCTGATTTCTTTGGTGGGCCTCAAGCGCGATTGGCGAGAAGTGACCCACACGGACCAAAAGAACAGGTGGTTTGTTCAGTTCATCGTGCTGACCGGGCCGATGGGGCATAGGAGTCGGGAGAATTCCGGGATTTCACTGTGTGGGGATGTTGCGCATTGAAGATTCATTGGCCCATCCGAGACAGGACTTGCTTCAAGCCTGAAGAATTTGAGGTGCAAGACTCTGCATCTGAGCCTGACAAAGCTTGAACATGATGAGGCGCATCGCTCTTCAGGAGCTGTAAGACCAGCAGTGTCAAAGTCATCGTTCCCGCTCCTTCGTTTCACATGCGCAGACTATCAATGACTCGAAGTATTTATTTGCATTGTTTTGGCATGGCTGTCGTTCAACAACGACTTGAACTGCAGAATCCGATTCTGCACAAAGCAGCAAGCAGCCGGCTTTTTCTGACATGCGACGTGCCACGTGCAACTCACAAAGGCTCAAATGTTGCTCAAGCAGACCAGCATCTGCTCCTGGACCATGTCACTGAGCAGGACTTTGAGACGTGCTCATTGCCTCTCTTTCAATGCCTGCTGGCTTAACAGCGTCCGAAGTGCTTGGGAACGGGTGGCAGCTCTTAACAAACATAGACTTGGACATATGTGATACAGACGTGCTGTCCGTTTTCCAAACGGGTCGTAAAAGGCAGCCATGGATGACACTGGCAGTTGAGCCTCAAATGTCAGGCACGCATCATTGTTGCGCTTAGTTGTGAGCGACGTTCACTTTGCCAGGTGATCTGATGGACTTGGTTCACTGGCAGCGGGAGCTGGCCGACAATTTGCAGGCAGTTCTCTCTGAAGGATAGGTGCGACATTGTACCAGCAGAGATGTCAATAGCATAATGCTGTCTTCAAACCAGCTAGCTGGCTAGCTGTCCTGGTCCTCGACACTGCAGCTTTACCGGCCTGGACATTGCAAATCTGCAGAAAGCCATCGGTATTCGAACCTGAGGCAACGATTGAGAAATGTTTGCATGGTGGCAAAAACGTTGCTTCATACCCACCGCTTAGTGTAATGTTCTGTGGCAGCTGTTGAATCACAAGGGAGTGGTCCTGTCAAGCCCCTGCGGAGCAGAACCTTTCAATGGCTGTGAGAACCCTGCAGTACAGTGCAGCACTACTAAACAACATACGGCTTGACTGCTGTAAGCTACGCATAAGCAAAGCTTGGAAATGCTTCCGCAAGTCTTGCAGCTGCCGTCCCTCAGGCCTTATCGCGCACATGCGATGGAATCAATGCTGCGATTGCAGGCATGTCCAACTCGAAAACCTGCAGTGGTGGTCACGCAACCATGGCGAGGGAATTGCAGATACAATTTCGGATTAAGGATGGAACTTGGCAGGTTGCGTTTTGGCTAGTGATTCGTTTTGTGTGTCACGTGCCTGCGGGACAAGACATGGGGTGATTTTATCCTCCAGTAGCTTTTTCAGGCATGTTCAGGCATCATCGGTATACAGTGATTCTAAAAGCCCGGAAAACCTGAGCTCGTCAGCGCGATGCCTCAGTGTAGCAGGCAGCTCTGCAGCCATCCATGCTATCCAAGGGTCAACCTCACAATCAGGCAGGGACGCAGGTGTCTTGGCGAGCCTAAGTGGACTTTGCCGGTTGCATATCTGCAAGGGAGACAACACCGCATGGGCATGTGGGTCTGAAATGGCTTTTTGTAGCCGATCCTGAAACGGGGTGGAATTCAAGACGCAGACTGAGCTGTAATGAAGCTGCAAAAAAGGGTGCGAGCTGCGGCCAACCGCCTCGCAAGCGCGAGGTTCACGAGAAGTTCAAGCTGGAGTCTGGCGTACCGGTGAGGACCGGTGCCAAGGCAAAGGCCTCCACCAAACCCGTTACGAAGAAGCGCTCATCGAGCCGCGTCTCCACTATCTCCCTCACTTCCAAACCAGGCTCGCACTTCTGATTCAGAGCGTGGTCGAGGGCAAGGAGAGCGAGGGAGACAGAGGGACCCTATTCTTTCCAGTTCCCGTACAGCCGAGCCTTCGAGGATCTTCGAGGGGAAAGTGCCCTTGAAGGAAAACGACGCCCGGGACTGCGGGTGCGTGCTCGCGCGCGAGGTTCTGGGCTGGACGCTCCCGGGGCCTCCCACCTGGTAGAGAGCGAGAGAGAGACCCTATATAGACATATTGTCTCAAGTCGTTCGGGGGGCGAGCCTTGATCGCAGCGACGGCTTGAGATCACCACAGATCACCCGTCGCGGCTGTGGCTTAGGTGCCGCTGAGGCTCCATTCTGCGTGTTTGACGACCATCAGTCGTATGACCGTTGCTGAACTAACTCAGCCCGACCCCAATAGACAAACAAGCTACCCCTCTCCAGCGGCAAGGGTGCTAAAGGGAGGAGGTGCAGCACAACGGAGCGCAGGAGGCTTGTCTTAACAGGTGATGCAACTGCCACCGGAGCGGACAGGCACGAGGCACCCGACAAGATGCAACGAAGGAGTTTGTTTTTCTGGGGCCAGAATGGCCACAAACCAAGAGCTGCTATGCGGTTCGCTCCATTCGATGTAAAATATTGGGACCCTTCTTATGAGTAAGAACTGGATGCCTGAATGAAAATCGAGGCAGCACGAGTGTGAACCAAGCTGCGTTCATTGTTTCAATCTCCATCAGTGCCACACCTGCGTGGCAAGGACCAGTGGACAGCGCCCCGCCCGGGAGGGGGCTTGTCGTCGGAAGGAAGGCAATAAAGAAGGAAGGAAGGAATCGAAGATGTAAATGGAAAAAAGAAAGGAAGCAAGGGAAAGCGCAAAGGGGTTGCGCAAGGGCTGCTTGAATTTTCAGCCTGCAGCAAGCTAGCAGGCAAGAGAGAAAAAGCCATTCGGCAGGCACTCGCTTGCTGGATGATTGGAGCGAGGCTTTCGTGGTATCCGAGCAAGAGGCTACGAATGTCTACAACGAGCTCTACGGATGCTTGTTTGACTTGTGTTGCCGAGCGCAAACTGAAAGAAGCTTTGTGAAGCTCAGGCGAACGTGCCTCAGAAGGAGAGCGGGCCTTCTCAAGCGTTCAAAGCATGCGAGAGTTCAGTACCCAATGTTGTCAACGCCGCCCGGCTCTTCAAGAAGGGGCTGATGCACTGTTGTCCGCCTGTGACGCTTTTCTGATCCAGAACCCCACGCTTTCAATCAAGCCGTGCCTGAACATTATGGATTGTACGCACCTTGTCCCGCCCAATTTCGTTGCAGGCTCACTGTAGTTCGTGATGACTTCCAGGGTCCGTTGCCAGGGGCAAACGGTTACTTGGCCAAGCGCCTCAGATGAGCATGAATTGACTGAGCTTTTGCGCATGAGAGTGCAACCGGAGGCAAGCGCTTCCGCGCAACACTTTTGGCGACATGGGAGCTCATGACATTGTGTCTGGTTTTGGTAGACACCATGCTAACTCCGTTGACGCTGGCTTGGCCACGCAGCAGAAGGACACCGTTCCGATCCACAACCTTTTTCCTGGCAGCACGGCTAGACACAGGTTTTAGCACTTGTGCTGCAGGTTGAAGAAACATCCTTTCTCCCGTCTGTAAGCCTCGTAGGCTGCAGGGAGCAGGCCAGTTTTGGCGTTAGGCAAAAGACCAGAGCACAGGCGCAAACTGGGTTTCTGATAGGTTGGGACCCAGAAGGAGAAATCATCAGTGGGTCTAGTCCAGAGTTCATGGCACATCATGTCGTCGCAGTGCTGCTTCAAGGTGAGTCCGTGGATATGGGGCCTTGATATTCTGATGAGCTTTGCCCCTGCCATCCTAGCCAGCTCGTACTCCCAGAAGTTCCTGCTCGCCAAGAAATACTTGGGCGGATCGCCTGCATTCAGTGTGCCATGGTGTGCTCAGGATCATCCATGTGCAGGATTGCACCAAGTGGCAGGAGGCACCTTCAGTGTACTTCTCGCATAGGACCATATCCATAGTGACCGTTGTTCTGCCAGCTCCGTGGCGGCGAGACGACGGCGCTCTAGTCGTGAAAGCTAACTAACTGGCACTGAAGGCGCGGGAACAGCCGGCAACCATCTTTCAGCGAAGCTAAACCGCGTGTGTCACCGTGTCATCTCGTCTTGTCCTCGTGACAGCCTGTTCAACTTCTTGTTGGCCGCAATGGCACCATCTTCAGACTCCTGACCAGAAATGTAGCTGGAGCTGCCCTTGTTTTGCTCCGTCGCGTGCCCAGGCTCAGTATTCCCACTTGACGTGCAGATCTCGGATTTGCAAGTGGCTTTTAGCTTGGCATGAAATTCCAGGCAGAACGGCTATAAACGGTCTGCCGCAGGCCTGAAGCAATCGTCAGTTGAGGTGTGCTTGCTGTCGGTGGATATCCTGGTCTTGTTCGGAATCCAGGACGAGGGACTGAGATTGCTGGTGTTGCTCCGGCTTCTGCGTTTCCTGAAAATGCAGAGGGCCGCTGGGCTTGAGAAGCCAATCATTCGATTTTTGGGGCTGTTGCTTTGTGTCCTGGGCACGCATTCTTTGAACTGGTGCATCTAAGAGTCTAAGAGGTCTCCGTGATCTCCGTGTTCTCCCCCGTGTTTCAACAGTGTGGACCTTGAAGTGCCACGGAGGAGCTTGAAGCTTTCATGCACTTTCACGCCTTGGGTCCGGGCCATTCGAAACAGACCGCCATGCTAAAGGTTTGCATCGTGTGCCCCTTTTCTTGTGAAGTGGTCTGCGCAGCGCGGGAACCGCGTGCACCCAAGTTTGGCGGGATCTGCACGAATTTGCGAGACGACGACTTGGACTCCGTAGGACCCTCAATGGTCGTGAAATGAAGCGGCACCTAACCAGCATAGATGCACCGACAAGCAGCATAAGTTTCGCAAGCCGACTTCGTTGCAAAAGAGCCGAAACAGGCATGGGCCAGAAGTGGGACGGCCCATTGATTGATGACCGGTTATTCCAATCGATACCAAGAACGTCTTGTCAACACAACGGAAACACTCGCCGGGCAAATAACTGACGAAAAGCGGAGGGTGGAGAGCGAGGCTGTGATCTTGTCTGTTGATGTTTCGAACATCTTGGCAGAACACCGACATGGGAACCTGCCTGCCAAAAACCGGCAACACCAGGTCATCACTACCTTTGAGTACAAGCTGGCAGAACGTGGGAGTACCAAAGTGGTGTCATGCCTCGTTATTCTGCAGTGCGTTGCCACTATCCTCATTGTGAACCACATCTTGGCTTGCTTGTTGTTCTATGCTGGGCATCTTGGAAAAATCTGGAACCGGAAGAACTGGATCGAGTTTTACGAAGTCCTGGAGCAGACGCAATATTCCCAGTATATGCACCTTGGAGAAGATTAGCTTCACAGGGAAGTTGGACCACATCCACTGTGCCATGCAATGATGATTGCTTTCACAGTGATCAGCTCAGGACGTGCTTCAATTGGGTCATTGCAGAATACACTCCAGCCCCCTTTCCATACAAACCTCAAAACGAAATAGAACAGACCTTCATTATCGCGCTCTGGCTGCAACCGGCAGATGATTTCCGTTGTAACATTCGCGGGGCTGGCATTTCTCTGCATCCTCGAGGTGATCATCCTGACATGCTTGCCTTTGCTCGGGTCTCAAATAGGAAAGATCAGCGGCACCTTGAACTTGATGAAGGAAAAGGCACGTGTGGGAGGCTCAGACCAAACCTGACTCGCGCAAAGCAACATGCACGCACTGGGTGATACCACAAACAAGTCAGTCTGCAGACCCGGCTTTGGCGAGTTTTGCAGGAACGAGATATGGTGCGAAGAGAGCCTCGATCAAGCTTGTCCAATCGTTCAGGGACGATGAGATTTCCGCACTTGTGCTCACACACAGCTTCACTGACACGTGAAACATCTAAGTCTATGCATCATTGTGAGACTGCCCCGACATGGTTACACATGACCCGGAAACATGCAAGGAGCTGCAGAGATGGCTTCAGAAACGAGAAGCACCGGGGCGACTAATGAGGCCGCTCAGATGGTTAAACGATGTTGGAAGAGACGCCAAGAGTTTTAGAAGATAAACTTAGCAGCAAACTTCACGCTAGTCGCAAGCGTCATGCCCATTGTGTATACATTGGTCTACATGTTGCTGCCTGCACGCAGGCGCATGCTCGCTTCCTTGGACAACGTCCTTGACTCCAGGGAATCGCCACTGGAGATCAAGGAACCTATGGCTCTCAAGTTTCTTCCGCACAGCTTGTTAGAAGAACTGCGAATCGTGAAGATGAGCCAAAAGCTGGACATGCACCCATTACTGCACATGCTGATGGACGATGCTGGACGGCATACTTTGGTCAGTCGTGTTTGATATTTTGTGAGGCTGTTGAGGGCTTCATTAGCAACCAGGCCAGGTAGTAAGTTGTTCCCATTCGATGTTCCATGGCGTCTTTCCCAAACCACTGCAGGGATGTTTGTAGCGAAGCATCTAGAACGGGTTTCCGAATAAGGTTGAACATTCCGACTGCTAAACTGTTAAACTTATAATTTTCATATGAGAGAAAGTCTTGTATATCTTGGATTATTTAAGTTTACGTTTTAAGTACGATGTTAGATACGGTTTCAAATTACGATTACATGTTCCAGTACGAATCCAAACTACGATTTCAACTACGATTGCAGGACCATGTACAGGTTCCAGTACGAATCCAAACTGCGACTGCCAAAGTCCCCCAAACGACTAAATTTAGTTCCATCCGGACTGACCTGCTTGGGCCCCTGAGGCCGTCCCTCCGCATGGCCAAAGGGGAGGGGCTCCGGAATCGTACTTGGAATCATACTTTGCTCGGGAATCGTGCTTGGGATCGCACTTTGCTCCTGGATCGTACTTGGAATCGTACTTTCCTACTATAAAAGTACGATTCCAAGTACGATTCCAGGTACGATCCCGGAGCAAAGTACGATCCCAAGTACGGCTCGGGAGCAAAGTACGATCCCAAGTACGATTCCCGAGCAAAGTACGATTCCAAGTACGATCCCAAGTACCATTCCAAGTACATGAAGGTCCCCCAAACGACTAAATTTAGTTCCATCCGGACTGACCTGCTTGGGCCCCTGAGGCCGTCCCTCCGCATGGCCAAAGGGGAGGGGCTCCGGAATCGTACTTGGAATCGTACTTTGCTCGGGAATCGTGCTTGGGATCGCACTTTGCTCCTGGATCGTACTTGGAATCGTACTTTCCTACTATAAAAGTACGATTCCAAGTACGATTCCAGGTAGATCCCGGAGCAAAGTACGATCCCAAGTACGGCTCGGGAGCAAAGTACGATCCCAAGTACGATTCCCGAGCAAAGTACGATTCCAAGTACGATCCCAAGTACCATTCCAAGTACATGAAGGTCCCCCAAACGACTAAATTTAGTTCCATCCGGACTGACCTGCTTGGGCCCCTGAGGCCGCCTACTTGGAATCGTACTTGGGATCGTACTTTGCTCCTGGATCGTACTTGGAATCGTACTTTCCTACTATAAAAGTACGATTCCAAGTACGATTCCAAAGCACGATTCCAGGTACGATCCCGGAGCAAAGTACGATCCCAAGTACGGCTCGGGAGCAAAGTGCGATCCCAAGTACGATTCCCGAGCAAAGTACGATTCCAAGTACGATCCCAAGTACCATTCCAAGTACATGAAAGTCCCCCAAACGACTAAATTTAGTTCCATCCGGACTGATCTGCTTGGGCCCCTGAGGCCGCCCCTCCGCATGGCCAAAGGGGAGGGGCTCCGGAATCGTACTTGGAATCGTACTTTGCTCGGGAATCGTACTTGGGATCGTACTTGGAATCGTACTTTCCTACTATAAAAGTACGATTCCATTTACGATTCCAAAGTACGATTCCAGGTACCATCCCGGAGCAAAGTACGATTCCAAGTACGATTCCCGAGCAAAGTACGATTCCAAGTACGATCCCAAGTATCATTCCAAGTACATGAAATCGTACATGCAATCGTACACGACTTCGTAGATCGTATACTCGTACATGAAATCGCACGTGCAATCGTACATGCAATCGTGCTTGAATCGTACATGACTTTGTAGGTCGTACATGAAATCGTAAATCGCAATCGTACATGAATTCGTAATCGTATTTCACAATCGTATCCGGGATCGTAAAAAAATCCATTTGGCGGGATACGAGGATTGCTCAGATAAATATTATAATGTTAAACTACTCGTGGACGATGAGGACTGCAGCAAATCACTGCCCCGTACTCTGCTGTCAATTGCCAGGCAACTGTCTCATGCGATCCTCTACTGCAGCTTGAAGCCCGAGCATGTTGTGATGCGATGGTTGAGGAATCGACCAATGGAGAATGACGTGCTGACCACTTTTCCGGCGGTAAGTGGCTCCTCGAGTGGAGGTGAAGATCATGTCGAGTTCCACGACGAGCGAATTTATTCGACGCACAGCACAGCGCCAGGTCAAGGACGTGTGTTGAGGGTCATGAGGGCAGGCAGTGGGGAACGAAGGAGGTTGGAAGGGAAGGAGAGGACTCCGACAGGGGACAGGAAAGAGCGAATCAGAAGGCGGCCCAAAGCATCCCATTGCATTTTTTCCTGATGCTGCAGATGCATTGGGCACCATGACACGGACAAAGTGGATCATCGACTGGCGCTAGATGCCGCATGCCGCTGTTGATTGTTGACAGTGCCGGGGCGACTGGCAGCATCCCGCTGCTTTGGGTTGGAATTCTACATTGCCCATCTGCGACATGGGAGTTCACTGTGCCGGTGGAGCAGTGTTGAGAAATGGCAGATCGAAGACACCACTGCCAATGCCAAGAAAAACATGTCGGACTCTTTCAGGCAGCTCGCGGTGGTAGGCGGGTCCCTGGATTGAATGGACACACTCGGCCCGACAACCCGCGGAAGCAGGACCCGCGCTTCGGGGAAGTCTGCGAGGAATGAATACCGTAGCCGTTCCCGGACTGGCTCACCTCTGAACGTTGAAGAATGTGCCGGGAGGACAGGTGTTCGATGGTGTTCGATTGCAGATATGTGAGAAATTGTGAGAAGGCACTAGAATGTAAATTATGTACATCTGACATGAATGATGCATTGACCGTATGAGCATGCATGTTTGATCCGATGTGCAGCTCTGGGTGGTTTACATGCGGCCGTGGCCGCTAGTAGCCGCTTCGGGGGCCTCGGGAGGGTTCGTCGGTCTCCAGTTCCAGGTTGCTCGGGACTTGAGCAAAGAAACGGGGATCATTGTTCCTCCGGAACCTGTGTCGCCGAGTGGTATCAGCCGGGCTTTGGATTTGGAAAGGGACACCTTATCATCTCCCCTCTGTCTTGCTGGATGTCTTCCTGGGGCTCTAGATCCTTCGCCCGGGGGACTCGATTGAACCCTCCCATTTCCAGTTTGTATCGCATACTTGAATACAAAACTTGAGGGCCGAGCTTTCCGCTCTTCGTGACGAGGCCCGAGCACTTAGGTCATCGTTGCACCGGCTTGAAGAGCGCATTCAAGATCTTGAGGATCAAGCTGGGTTCGAGGTGGTGCCTGCTGCGAGCCTTCCTAGAGTATCCCCTCTTCCCCTCCTAGTTCCCCTGGCAGTGCCCCTGTGAGCAGCTCGAGCGCTGCTGGCGCTCCAGTGCGAGGCACTTTCCCTGACGGGTCCAGCTCTTCCCAGCCAGGCCCGCCTACTTCTCAGTTCCGAGTCAGTGTGGCTCAGCGAGTGGGCAGATTCCTTGCAGGGCGTTTGAACGGCAGTGCTACGGGCAGCTCTGGTCGGGACGGCGTCAGCCTCTCGAGTCGGCTGTACATTGTTTGCCGGGACGCTCACGGGAAAGCCTACAATCCTCCCATTGTGACCTCGAGTTTTGCCCGGGTCAAGCAGCTGTGGTTCTTGAGTGCGGACCGCAGTGGCAAGAGCTCTTCTGAGCTTAGTGCCTCTTCTTTGCGTATCCGGCTCCCTTAGGGTCGAGCCTCGTGTGCAAGTCTCCGGTTCCTTTCGGGTGGAGCCGTTGAGACATATTACCCGCCAAGCCGAGTCGGCGCTCCTCCGCGCCCCGGGATGGATTTTGTCCGGATCCGGCCTTTCTGATGGCCTCATCGAACACCTCTGCTCTCTCCCGCCCGGACGCTTCTCCCAGGCCTTTCCTGACCTGCATTCCGCTCTTCTCTCTGGGCAGAGTTTTCAGGGTCTAGAGGGCTTTGTAGGGAAGTCGCCCGCGACGCGCCATGTTGGGTCCTTGGCTGCGACATGACCCCTCCGAGGATCTGCTCCCGCTGGATAAGCAACATTTTCCAGCTGCTGGATGGAGGAGCCTTCCGAGGTTTCAGCGACGGTCCCTTCTGTTCGAGCTTTTCCTGTGCTATAGCTCCCCCCTGGCGGAATGAAAAGCATCCTGAGGGAAGCCCAGGACTTGCGGATTCGTCGAGGCAACGCTTTGCTTGAGTTCATCCTCAACTTGATCAAGATCTGCGAGCGCCTTGACCTGTTGTACGTTGTCGAGAATCCGCTGAGTAGTTGGATGTGGAATCAGAAAGCCTGGGAGGGATGCTCTTCGAGAGGAGCTGCCTGGGATTTCATCTGCGACTACTGTGCCTTTGGAACCCCTTAAGAAAAAACCGGCGAGGTTCCGAACCAATGGACAGCTCGAAGGCCGGCGACTTCGTTGCAGCAGGGACCATCGCCACCTCGTTCTTCGTGGGCGAGGCGGGGATTCTTCCACGAGCTCGACCAAGCGTGCAGAGCCCTACCCTCGGAGACTGTGCGTCCTACTCGTTCAAGCTGTGGCGCAAGATGCGAAGTGGATTGAAGAATGCCGGCCCCTGGATATCAGTCGGTGTGCTACGTGCTCCAGAACTCTGTCTGGAGCGACGTTCAGGCCTGGCTTCGAGAAGGAACGGGACCAGAGGCTGCAGCCAGTGCGGTCGTACTCCTGAGATCTTGGTTAAGCTGCTTGGTGCCTATGGTCAAGTGCTGTACAGCCGGGGAGCTCCGCTACAGCATTACAGTCAATTGCTGGCAAGTGCACAGCGCCGTATCCCATCGTGCCGGCCCCTGCTGCGTCCAGCGTGGGAAACTTTGACGCGATGGGAAAGGCTAAAGGCTAGAGCCGACTCAACATCAACCGCCAATGCCAGAACCCCTCTTCAAGGCCATGTGTGCTTTAGGACTCTGCCTAGGCTGGGAACGGTGGGTATGCATGACTCTTTTGTGCGTTTCTTTTTCCAGATTCGGGGGCTTTCGGGTGCCAAAGACGAGACATCGAGGCGCCAGAGTTCAACATGTTGCAGTTGTGCTCTCCTACGAGATCGCCAGCCCCTGCCCCGCGGAGAGAAATTATGTGATGGTTCCCCGGCTGTCTACAGACCGCGACGGGACTGCCTGTTGGAAAGGCTGGGGGTGGCCCAAACGTTTCGGCTTATTCCAGGCTCCTTGCGTGGGCCGCTGTACCAGGACGGTGTTGCAATCGCCATGCTTCAATGGCGTATGAGACGTCAACACCAGGCCACCTTACTTAGCTTTTTACCTGCAGGAGGGTCGCAGAAGGGTCGATACTTCCGGCATTGCCACGTCACGCAAGAAAGGCCATCGAAGCGGCTAGAGCCGTTTTTCCTTTTAGTTTCGGTTCCGCCCAGCGCGCTTCCGCATAGCCTTCCAGGCTTCTTTTCAGCTGGCCGGGCTTGTTTGGTGGAGTCTTTTGTGGCGTCGCATAAGATATGCATGCCGGACGACGCAAGACAAGTCTTCATGCGGAGCATAAAGACCCTCAGCACTGAAGGTTTAAACATGTTCATTTTCGAAAAGCATGTGTCTTCCACTTCGTCAGTGGAATTCAAGCTGGTGCTTCCCACTACTGTTTTCGAAATGGCGGTGCAGATTTGCGAATATCGTGTTTACGTGAGTTACGTGACTGTGCTCGGATGCGATCTGGGCGACCGCTTGTTGCAATTTCACAATGGTTCCTTCCTTCTTCGATTGTACAGGCACGCTGCGATTGATCGCTAGAGCCAAAAATCAGATGTTGGCGTGCTTCAGGGGGGGTTAGTTGGGATAGGTTGGTTGTTGACTACCGCATAGATTGAATGATTCGCCTGAAGATGCACGTGATACTTGGTGGTTTCATGCACAACTGAGGATCGGCTGGCAATATCTGGCCGCTTGAGCACGTCTTTTCGTGATGTCAATGCCGTCCAGGGCGACGCGGTCTTCACATCTGGTCGTCGTGGTGAAGGCTGCGGCTTACCGTTGCCGACTTCTCGAGACCACTCTAGCACAAGCGTCCTGAGTGCTGCGGCAGCAGAATCAACTAAGCTCCACAGTTGCTTGCTCACTGCGTCAATGTTGAAACTTGTTTTCTGCTGCCATTGCTAGAGCTTGTGCATGTTTCTGCTCCTGACCTTCCCGCTCCGCCGTTGTTTTCGAATAAACAGCGAAATCCTCTCACCCTCCTTCCGATAGACAGGCAGACACACACACGCACACACACAGCAGCACAGGCATTGATTGTTTCACACGCAGAAACATGCCCTCGCTCTCTAACTCTCGCTCTCTCTCTCTCTCTCTCTCTCTCTCTCTGCCTTTCCCTCTACCTCCCGTCCCTTCTGCGCACAACTCAATTGAGATCACCATGTTGGGAACTGCGATTCTGTTTTGCTTTCTGATGAGCCGAAGTTCTGCTGGCAGGACTATACATCACTCAAAGCGGGCAGTTTGTTCTCCACACGGATCCGCTGCAGGACTATCTGTCGTAGTTCTTCACCACTCATTCGAATTCATTCGATGTGCATGAAAGAGCCCATGGCTTCGTTAGGATCTGGTGGCCCAAAACGCCCAAAAGAAATCCAGCACACACAGTGCAGACCCTAGCCACGGTTCAGCAGATCGGATGAGTACTAAGAGCATGTTGCAACGGTTTTCTGCCAACCAAGGTTCTGGCACAGGTGCACTGATCCAGCAAGAAACCTGGTTAGCAGTGCTGTCCTCAGGATCTATCAGTGACGTAAGAGAGCATCACAGTCAGATTCCCATAAATTTGAGGAGCTGTGCCTGTACACCAATCTGAGACTTGCATCAATTTGTTGCGATTCAGTGGGGCAGGGCTGCACGCTCGGGTCTTTCTGCCTACTCCGGTGTGAAGAAATCTTTTCGGGCACAGCTGAGACGCAGCAGACACATGTAGTGAGTCTTCTGCTGCAGCTGTCATCTGCGCACGTTCTTGCCACCCTCCCGCACAAACTTCAGCTCGTGAAGACAAGCAACATTCGAGGAACCATATGTCGTCTCTCACATGCACGGTTTATTCCAAAGTGCTGACGACCCCAGTGGCAGAGTTTATCCAAGCCGGGCGCTCAGCTTTGAATAGTTCCAGTCAGGTGCCAGGCGGCTCATAACACTGCAGACAGCCCAGCAGGCCGTCCGGACATCTCCAGCAGCCGTGGTTGCTGTGCACGAGTACCTTGGAGGGAAAAGACTGTGGGTAAATGCTCATCCGTGGCAACCAGAACTTCAGCTCGGTCTATCTCGCGCCCAGCTTTTTCAATTGGCTCGCAAGTGATGCGGGCACCCATCCCCGTACCCACCCTCTCGAGATGTACATATTCAAGTTCTCTTTGCTCAAACAACGACCAGCTTTCAGGGGCCAAGCATCATTGTCATTGTGTGCGCGAGGAATTCCAATAGTTCAGCCTTTGCTACTCTCAGGTATGCTGTGCGTCTGCTGGCAACATTTCAGAGTCTTCGGTGGCAAGAATCGAACTCCAAACATGTTGAAGCCATAGAGCATCAGCAAAGTCACAAGTTCCAGGCCACACAAAGTGCCATGCTGGGAACGTCTTTCTCCAAAAGATGCAGAAGTCTGCGTCAGCCACACGCAGCTGGCAGTCTCTTCTCTGAAGACCAGATTTCTTTGGCGTGGTTTTCGTACGGTCTCCAAGCACCCTCTTGTGGCAGTTTACTTGCGCATGTTCAGTCGCATCGACGGCATACTGATGTTACACAGGGTTCAACACGAGGAGCTTCTGGCACCAGGCACCGGGCAGATTCACAATCTCAGATCTTCGGAGGCCCTCATGCGCACGGCATTCTGGAGGGGACCATATCCTGGCATTACATGTTGGATACATTTGACGAATGAAGCACGATGACGCACAGGGGTGTTGCAGTGGCATGTGCTGACGAGTTGCACCGCTGCTCTTCCGGCTGCTTATGCATCTGGTTGTAGCTTGCTTACTCGTGCCCTTAGGGGTCTGTTTCAGCCCATTCACCTGTAGCCTTGGTCGTTGCATTCACCAATCCCCTGCATGATACGAGGGTAGCATCTCCCAAGAGTGACTCACGGCTACAATGCAATATCCCACAATTAATCTCCCATCCCTGCGCTCAGCAACCACTGTAGGTGTTAGGCAAGATAGTGCGCAGGACAGACAAAGAGAAAGAAGCCGCGCGAAGCGTCAATCTACAGCATGTTACATCCGGTGTGTCGGACCATACCCGGCTTTTGAAACCATCAAAACGTGTGCCGGCCTAAGCTCTCCTTCAATGGAGCCACGTGTGCATTGAGGAAGTCGCCACCCCGAGTTTCTGTGCAAAAGCATCGTTTGCCCTTGAAGTATCTGTTCTTGTGGTAGATGCAAGATAACCATAGCCAATTACGCATGGCTTCATATGTGACAGGAGACTGACTTTACAACATTCCTGGATGAGATCATGGCTGATGGGCTCAGCAACAACGATCCTTGACAACTCGGTAAAGGTAGGCAGCTTTGCATGTGCGTTCTGAGTTGCAATTACCACAAGTCTCGGCTTTCAATATCTTTGAAAGTAGGGAAGAAGTGGTCTCAAAGGATAGTTGCCTTGCTCTGTCCGCCCGCCCAACTCGCGGTTGCTCGTGATTGTTGATCTAGCGGCACTGGCCATTCACACTTCCGAGGACCTGGTCAACGTGTTCCAAAGGTTTATTCCGGAGCTCCGGGGCGATGGCATCTATGCACAGCTGCACTTTCAGGACCGGTTGCTGCGCTCCAAACTCTCACCGCAGCTCGTGAATAAGTAGCTTCTTGGACTTGGTGCTATTTTGCGCTGAGCATCCGTCAACGCGACTCACAATTGGAGATGTGCACATATACGTACAGACATGCATGCATGCATACATGCACACACACACACATACTTTCACACAGAGATATAAAAAACTACATATACTCTGTGTGCGTGCGTGTGTGCGTGTGTGTGTGTGTGTGTGGGTGTGTGTGTGTGTATATATATATATGCGTGTATATGTAGTTGTATATGGCTACATACTTGTATGGTTGCGCCCGGCGGCCCGCCCCCCCCCCCCCACCAACGGTATCCCCCCATTTGGTCATCCGCCTGTGGAACAGCTCGGGCCTTAAGCTTGTGTGTGGAATGATTGGGTTTTTTGACTCAAGCCTCTTACTATTGGGCAAGGGGAGGGGTACGTATGTACGTGTGTGTGTGTGTATGTAT